TATTTTCCATTACTTTTTGTGCGGCGTTCAAGAAAAGGGTGGCCCCACTTGTAGACTCGGAGTCTAAAAAGGATTGATCAAGTGGATTGTTTGTGATTGCGATTGTTTGTCGTTGCATCATCAAATAGTTTTGTTTTGAAATGCGCACTTGTGCTGGTCTCACGGTGGGGGCTCGAGACGCAGGACAAGCTGAACGATGCATGTTCTGCAACGTGTGCCCCCAACCAATGGGGTCGTAGGTTAGCTGTGTGGTAGTTCCATTAGCGAGTACAGTAGAAGAAAAGGGTGGGGAGGGGTCGTAGATTAACTGTGTGGTAGTTCCTCCAGTGAGTGGAAGAAAAGGGTGGTCAGATATGAGTGTTTCAAAAGATGCAATGGAGTGGTTTCTGCACACGCAGCAGTTTTGTGTGTAAATGGTGGGCAACGGATGGAAGGATTTTGATGTATTGCAGACGGATAGGAGGTATGGGTCATGATTTGGTGTATCGAAGCGAGCTCCAGGCTGTTGGTTGTCATGTTTGTTTTAAGGTGGAAGAATATTTTTAGGTGCTGACCGAGTTGGCATTGATGTGCAGGTAAGCATAATGAATTGGGGTGTCGAAACGAGGTGTATCTCTTCGTTCCCATGCATGCGTAATACTTGAGTATGGAAGATATGTAGGCGGAAGGCAAGTTTGAAACGGGGTAGTTTGGTGTTGATTGAAAAAGCGGTACTGTACCTCTCTGTCCAGACGGAATGACCAGTAGCTCTATACGGTGGTGCTGCAAGACGGGTGGGTACTCGTATAGGTATGCAAGCGGTTTGCGGTGCGGACATGTGACGAATGTACAGTATGGTTGCTAGAGGGGCGGGGGCTGAGGCGGCACGCGGAGAAACACACGGGCGGGGCCTGCTGCAAGCGGCGAAGTTTAGAGGGAAAGCAGGCCAGGAGTGGAGTGAAGCACGTGGGGTGCAGCACGTACCGTGCAAATGTTGCGGGGAGTGGCGTTTGTTCAACCGGCAGCAGCAAGCGTTGTTTTGATCGTTGCATGCGAGCGTTACGCCGCGCCTTGGCGAGTCAGGACATGGGACAGGCGCGCCGCAAGCGGCAACGCCGGGTGCGCGCGGGTGGGCGGGGGGGGGACCCAGGGCAGGTA